TCAATTTTATTTGAAGTTGTTGAAAGTCTCATTGGTTTTGGTTTTGGAGGAGGAGGTTTTGGTTTTGGTTTTGGCATGTTCTTTGAGGTTACTCTACGATTAACCTCATTTCTGTTATTATTATTATTATTAATTTTATCCATATTATATATAATTTATTTTTTTTTTTTTTTTGAAAATACTTTGATTTGTAAGATTGGATCTTTCTTTTTGTAAACTGTAAATTAATAAATATTAGTGAAATCTATAAAATGTAATGTAGACAAAGTAAATCAAGAAGGTACACCCCCTGAACCTACTTGATTAAATATAGATCTTATTTTATTTCTCCCACTGGTTATTTTTTTAAAAAATAATAGTAATAGAGAAAAAATTACGAAGAGGAAAAATAAATATTTATATTGTATTTACCGTAACTAATATTAATTGGTTATATAAAAGATAATAAAAACACGTTTCATTTATAGCATTACAATATTAATATACTTAAATTAAACTTTTTTTTTCAATATAGTTTAGTACATGTTACATATTTATTAATTTAGGAAACATGACTTACTTTTCCGCGCTATTTCGTACCACAAATCATGTCTAGAAAATTTTTTTTGGAATTTAATTGGCTAAATAAATAGAAAATTGAACAGTTGAGTCTTCCAAGCATATACCCTCAAAAACCCATTGTGATTAAAGACACTTGCCATAAATGATTGGGCTGGTAGCTACCATTGCCATAAATAGCTGTTGGTAGCTACCATTTGCATAAATAATTATGGCTGCTACTGCAAATAGATATGGCTGTAGTTGCTATAAATAGATATGGATGCTGCAAATTGTGACTGCAAATAACTACAGCTGCTGCAAATAGTGTTCAATTATTGTCATTAGTCATATATATTAGTCATGCAAAAGTTTTCTTGAATTATTTGTAATCTGCAGTAACTGAATTTTTTTGATATATTTTATAATGGTAACTACATCAAGAAATTTTTTCTGACACAAATTTACATAATTATTACACTATTTATGTAATTTTTACAGTGGGCCCCATAATATTATGCAAAAATAATACAAAATTATGCAATTATTACATTCAGTGTAAATATTACATAAATTTCTTATGTAAATATTACAACATTGCATATTAAAACTTATGGATTTAATATTAAAGTGAGAAAATTCCCTGATGTACCAGGGGTAATTATCCTATGGTAGTTATCATTGCTGCAAATAACAAAAAATCCACAAGAACACAAAAAATTTATCCTATTAGGTTGCATTTAAAAATGCATCATGTTAAGAATTATAATGGCTATTTAACTTCAATAAAGTCCTTTTTTATTGAAATATGGTTAAGCAAGGTGAACTGTAATCACATTATAAATGTGATGATAATGACTAAATTTTGATCCCTGAAATCTTTGGTAATACCAATGTTCACTTTGTCTGGTTTTGTTGCAGTATGCCCCAAATACTTGCTTTTAAAAGATATCAACTAATATTTCACAAGATTAGCTAGCCTATGAATCTTTTCTTAGTGTATTAAAGTATGATTTCAATAAAATATATCAACAATCTCTCATATTTCATTCCTTTGAAATCCGCAGGTGAAAAATCTTGATTTTTATCAAATTGATTTAATTATAACCAATAAATCATAGATTCCTATGATTTTTAGAATTGATAAATTGTCTTGGTTGGTCAACAAATTCTATTTATTTTAAGTAACAGTTGAGATAATAAGTTTACATCTAGTTTGACAAACAACATCTAAATATGACTATAAAGAACTTCCTTTCTTTTAATTTACTATTTACCAGAATTATTTGCAGATCTTCAAGAATATTGCAGTGGTAACAGCACTGTCACCTAATGTGGATGATTTCTAAAGGGTTACACCTGCATCCATCCATCCCTGTGAATATAGGGAGGGATTAAGATTTAACCTTATACAAGGGTTAGCCCTATGCAGGTTGTGATATATAGGTAATAAATATAGTAGAAACTAAGCATGTTAGCTGAAATTGGCTCTCTTAATGAATGATTGTCACCTAATCTGAAATGCCAAAATAGTTTTTCATAGATGCTGAAATTAATCTTATTAGTTGCCAAAATTATATCTGAAATTATTTGAACACTTTAAATAAGTAGCCGAAATTCTGGGTAGTATTTTATGCCTATAGATATAAAGAATATTGTTAATCCAATATTGCTTGTCAAAATAGTGTTCCATGTTGCAATCCAAAAAAGGAAACCAAATTGGTCGCAAAGGTGGTTGCAACCAGGTGTTGCAAACCATTTTTATATGTTGCAAATATGGTTGCAACCATCACCAAGAATTGCAACCAGCATCTATATGCCAAAATTGTTTTTTTCAAAATCCATTTCGGCTAACATCCTTAGTAGAAACACCACATGTTTTCATACCAGCTACTCCTGAACAAACTAAAGCAGTACAGGAAGCTTTACACCCTAATCAAGATAATGTTATTGGTGAAAAAGGTGAAGTAATTACTAGGTTACATAATGAACTTCATCCTGGATGTATAGTATTATCCACTAAAAAACACTTAGCTAATGATATTAAAGCTATGGATTCTGAAACTTGAGATCAAGTAGGAGAGTTATTTCAGGAAGTAATAGGTGAACTTGAAACAAGTTAAATGTTCATGATTTTAATATCATAAGTGAAGTATGAGAGAGAGGTCAAAGAATATGGAGAGAAGAAAAACAAGTTGATCAAAATTGAGCTGCTAAATATCATGAATCTGAATTCACAATAATCATTTCCCCTAGATGTGTAAGATAAGCATGAAGAGGAAGAGATGGAGAATGGACAAATGATTGGTACTTTTGAAAATGAAAGGAATAGCCAAAAAATTAAGAGATCAGAAACTTATTACAAAAAATGAAACATCAAACCAAAAGCTGAACTAGAAAAAGAATTAGCAGAAATTAAGCAAAGTAAACATCCTCTCTTTGATTTATTCCAACTATTTTGATAACAGCAGGGCTAACCACAATTAAAGACTAGTGCCATAATCCAAAAAAGGAAAAAGGATGGTTGCAAAAGTGGTCGCAAAGGTAATTGCAACCACTTTTTATATGCCGTAAATACAATTACTACCATCATCATAATTTACGGCACTAGTCTTTAACCACAATAGCACTTTGGATGCTAGAAATAAGAAGAAAGAAAAATAGAAATTATGAAAGTGCTATTCTACATTGCACATGGCATTAGATGTTCACTTTGGTCTGGTTACAGTAATGATGGTGGCTGAAATTATTTTAGAAAATCCGAAATAGTTCTGCCCACAGTTTAGGCAATTTTGGAGTTTTGCCAATTTTGCCAGACAATTCTCAAGGGTGAAATTAGGCCTAAACCAAAATTTCCTAAATGCCTAAACTATGGGTTAGTTTTGACCACCATCATTAGGTTACAGTATATTCCATTTGCACTTTATTAAATGATTTATTCTCAATTTTACTTCATTTGTCCAAAGGTTTCTGTCTTCTGTTTTGTAATTGTATGTCCTCATCCTGCTTTCTTTTTTTAACATTTATTATTTTCTTGGTAAATTTCATAAGTAATCCTTTCTTTTCTTAGATAAGTTTCCAGTACCTGAGTATCATTTATTTTGAAAATGTAAGGAGCAATTTTTTTGCCTTGTTCCTTTTTCAAAATACTTCTAATGGTGCTGTAATTTTTGGGTTCCATAGTAGATCTGATGTAAATGAGTTTCATATTAACTATTTTTGTCTAGACAAATATCATGATCACTGATGGCCCCAAAATTACCTTTCTTAATTGCCAAATCCAAGATGCTGAAACTAGTTTTTATGGTTTCCAAAATCAATTTTCATAATTGCCAAAATTGTTGCTGAAATTATTTGAACACTTTAACTCAATAGCTGCAATTCTGTGTGGTTTTCAATGTGGATTTATATGAAAAATATTGCTGTGCTGAAACGCTTGGCAAAATTACTTTTTTCTGAAAACAATTTTGGGGCCATGATCACATTACATTGGTGATACAATTGTGATCTTGTGATATTAAACAAACACTATTGATCCTTGAAATTCTTGTTAATACCAATGTTCACTTTGTCTGATTTTGTTGCAGCATGCCCCAAAATAAATGAATTAACAAATAAATAATTCAAGTAATTTGAATAAATGAATATAACAAATAATTTAAATAATTCATATAAATTTCTTTATCTGAGTTCAATTCATTACCTGATTTGTTTTAAATGTGGTTTTCTGAACTGAATTTTATAATTTGTTTTGGTCACGTGTTTATAAGATCTTTTATGGTTGGCTCGGTCTAAAGACCTCCTATTACTGCGCCACACACTCAAATTTCAAAAAGTCGCGATTTCGTGGTTTGTTCAAAAATGCAATAAAATTTTAAGACGAATTTTAAACCAGTTTATGATCACATTTGGCTTGGAAAGTTATATTTTTATTTGTACAAACCATTAAGTTCAGTTTATTGAGTAAAGTAGAAATTATAATAAAATTCATCTTAACGAGATAATTTTTATTATATATGATTTGGTTAACCAATTTTGCATCATTATAAAGTGAAAATCGGTTTATGGTAGTTCGGTTTATCGAGGTTTGACTGTAATTTACTATTGGTCTTTAAAACTTTAATTGAAGGTATCTCTAAATTTTATTAAGTAAGGTGGGTATGGTTTCTAAGCTAAAATTAATCCCTGCAGTGAATTGCATGAAGTAGTGGTGTTAACTCAAAATCACAAATTTGGTAGTTACCCTTTCTATTGTCATGCCCATACATATATATATATATAAAATCAAGAAGACAAGTGGCATTTACACGAACTGGCACACAAAAAGCCACATGAGATTGAGAGTAAAATTTTTAGAATCACTTTGTGATTTTGCATTTACAATTCCATATTACTTTGCAGCGGAAAAATACTTCATTGTTTAGATTATTAACTATTGGAAGGAAAACAATCTAATGTTCATTATGGTAATAAGTACAGAGTTAAAGAACCCTGTTAATTATACTGGTGGTACAATAGTGATGTTAAACCCTGCAATCCTTGGTAATACCAATAAAAATTTCATCTAAAATTTTAATCTTAAATTTTTTCTGTTGAATTCGTTCTTCAGCATGACAAGTACTTATAATTTTTTTTGGGACCTGGCTTCTTTAGACTCGTTAAAACGTGAAAAGGCTTCAATTGATTTAATTAAACATTTAGATCAAAGTTATAATGAACATAAAAAATCAAATAATAATAATAATTTATCTATCAAACCATCAGATAAGAAAAGTTTTATAAAGTAAGAAGTTGCCATAAATTTTAATTTCTTGTTTTTTGTTTTCTTTGGATTAATTTTTTATTAATTGAGGATATTTTTCAATTTATAGAGTAACAGAAATTTTAGAAAAAAAATATGGATCAGATGTTGCGTATTCACTTGTCCGTTTAACAAGAGGATTGGCAAGTCCACGAGCTGGTGCTAGACATGGATTTGCATTAGCTTTAACTGAGGTATCAATACACATATATGTTTGGAAAGAGGAAATGTGCTGAGCTATTTTCAGATCATGACACATTTTTAAAAATGAAAAAAATTCAAAAATTTTTTTTTAAAGCTCCTTGCAAGTTTAGATTCTTTGGAATACCGAGAAATTGCAGTTCTTCTTGATGATGCTTGCCCGATGACTTCATTTAAAAATCGGGTAAATAATTAAATAAACAAAATCAAATAAATGATTGGTTGATTGATTGATTTGATTTTGTTTGATATAGGATGGATCAGATGTAATATATGGTCGTATTTTTGGCTACCTGTCAATTATTCGATCAGGTTTGATCTGGAGAAAATATTCAGATAGTAAAGATTACTTTGAAGTGATTGATGAGCTAATTACTTGTTCAAAAAGTAAACCTTACGTCAAGGAGACTTGTTATCATATTATTATTTCTACTATTCCACACGTAAGCATTTTGTTATTGTTATAGTTATTGTTTGAAGAATGTTTTGATTGGAAAATTTACAAAAAAATTTTTTTTTTTTTGATAGTTAAAAAATTCTACTAAATTTGAGAACAAAGCTTTAGAACATCTTTTGATAGTCTTACAAAATCAATGCATTCATGGAATTAACAATCCAGATGACCTTAATCTAGCACTTTCAATAGAAATCAATTATCCAGTGTGTGCATGAATTTTATTTTGCTTTATTTTTAAAAGAAATCTAAAACCTTTGTATAATAATTTTTCCTTAAAATTTTTTTACTTATTTTATTAGGAAGTCGTAGATAATGATAAATGGAAGAAAATTATATTACATGAATGTAAAAAATGTGAAGGTGGGTGGTCGAAGCCTCAAATACTTCATATTAAAAATATAGAAAAATTATCAACTGCTCTACAGGTATGCACCAAATGCTACATACTATTTTATAACACTTTCTTCTAGTTATAAAGTCAACAACTCTCAGAACTAAAATCCTTTTCTCTTTAAAAAATTTTAAAATAAATAAAGGCAAAATCTATCAAAGATCCAACGAATAACATTCATCAAAATCAAGAAAACAAATTTCATTCAATTCATTATTAGCCTTATTACTACTACTCTTACCCTTATTATTATTATTATTGTTAGCAGAGTTATTAAGGTGATGTTTCTTTAATAATGTTTTTAACAAAAAATTACTCAAACTCCAACTTAAAACCATCATGTCCTTATACTTTGATTTATGCGCAATCTCTTGAACTTGTTGCATTATTTCAAGTAATCGATCATCATCGACAAGCTCGACTGTTGGCCCATCTTTGATGACGACAACTCTTGTTTTCAAGAAAATGTACACACTTTTTGAAATTTCATTGGTTTTGGCATTCCTGGTGAATTCCAATAACGGAACAAACAATTCGAAAATGAGGGGATTTTTTGATTGTTCTTGAACAAAAATTTTTAATAATCCAATTATTTTATGTTTAAAGTGAAGTTTTTGAGCCTTTGCCTCTGTTTACGCATACATAATAAATAAATAAATGAATTAATATTAATACATGTATATATGTATGTTGTAGAAAAAATTAGTTATTAATTACCAATTTTCTTTGCTAGTTCTTTCTTTTTTGTTTTAAAAATTTCAGACAATTTCTCATCAAACCTTTCCATCCTATATC